TGTACCCTGACTGCCCAAAACTTTCTCCACTCCCCCCAAAAAGCCCCCCCCCCGTTTCTTGACTGCCCCCTCCAGAACCTCCCTGCCCCTTCTCCTGCCCCCTGGCCCCCTTACCCTGCTGCTCAGAACAGGGTGTTGGGCTCTGTGCGAGCCGAGCCAGACACGTGGCTGCGCTCCCCAGCACAACAAAACCCGGTCCCTGGCCCTGCACAGTGCTGCTGGACTGGGCTGCAGGGGAGAGCTGCCGGCTCAGAATGCAGGGCAGATCCGGCTCCTCTACAGCTGCTCCGGAGTCCAGCCCGGGACTTTCCTGCAGCCCTCCCAGCTGCTCGCTCTGCTCTGTCGGGGGAGGGGGGAAATCCCGGACATTTTGAGTGCTTTACAAATTCCCCCCGGACGCTATTTTTAGAACAAAAAGGAGGACATGTCCGGGTAAATCCGGACGAATGGTAACCCTAGTCTCCGCAGCACAGCCAGGGCCTGAGAAGGAGGCCTGAGAAGGAGGCCTTGGACCTACAAGGAACAGACTGTGAACTGCCCTGACGTTCCACAGACACTGTTTGTAATGTTCCCTGCCACAGAGCAGGGTGATGTGTTTCCTTTAACCTTTCCTATTTTTCCTTATTCTTTTTTTAATTAATAAAATTAAAATAAATACAACTTGTATTTGCTTTAAATTGTATGAAATGATCAGTGGGTCAGGGAAGTGTCCAGTCTGGAGACAGCACCACGGAGTGGGGACACTCTAGCCCCTGTCCTGGGTGACCACAGCAGGGTTGGGAGTCGAGCCTCCCAGGAATCCTGGGCCCAGCCTTGTCGGGGTTACGAGGACTCTGCCAGACAGGAGTGTGGAAGGGGAGTCCTCAAGGGTAGGGAGGCCTCTGGGTAAAGGAAGTGGGAGCAAGGCCTCAGATCCTTTCGCTAGCCCACTTCACCAGGGTAGTGCAGAAGCCAGGAAAGTTCCTCACAATAACGGGACCATTCCTCGGCTTACATATATACTATACACTAGAGGTGGGCAAACTATGGCCCGTGGGCCACATCCGGCCCACGGGCCCTTCCTGCCTGGCCCCTGAGCTCCTGGCCTGGGAGGCTAGCCCCCAGCCCCCTCCGCTGCTGTCCCTCTCCCACTCAGCCTCAGCTCGCCCCGCCGGCAGCGGAATGCTCTTGGCGGTGGGGCTATGAGCTTTTGCCGGGCAGTACAGCTGCAGAGCTGCAGCCTGACCCGGTGCTCTGTGCTGCGTGGTGACGTGGCTGGGTCCAGCCGGTTGGCGTGGCTGCCTGTCCTGGTGCTACAGGCAGCGCGGCGGGGGGGGGAGGGGTTGGATAGAGGGCAGGGGAGTTTGGGGGAATGGTCAGGGGGCAGGGGGGTGGATAGGGGTTGGGGCAGTCAGAGGGCGTGGAATGGGGGGGTTGAATGGGGGCAGGTGGTCCCAGGGGCAGTCAGGAAAGAGAGGAGGGATTGGGATGGGGGCAGGCAGGGGGGCAGGGAGTTCCGGGGGGCAG